TTTATATTAACGTATCAGCTTCCAATGAAATAAATATATTTTTCATCAAACATGTTTATATTAATTAAAAAACAACAAAAGTAACATTTGAATTGTTTTTTTTTCAAAAAAATAATTCAATGATATTGGTTATTGTTGATTTTTTTGGTCTTTTTTGTTTTTTTTATTTATTTTTTTTAACATCAATTGCAATAATAATTAAATGTTGGCAAAAATCGAAAAATTAAAGTCGGATTTTTATTTAACGATGGAGAAAATTAACTATATATTTAGTTTTTTAATTATAATCAATAGCTTTTTTCTTTTTTTTTCGAAATAATAATTTTTTGTTTTATTTTTAAAATATTTTACTTTTGAACCAAATTATTCATCCAAAAAAGGAAAGCAAGAAATGTGGAGTTTGTTATTTTTTCTCTGACTAATTTCCGAGTAATATTAACCAACCGGCAGACCATTTAATATAGTTAATTACAGAAGTGTCATTGTTATAAGGCGATTAATAGGTCATACAAATTGATTTGAAAAGCAAAGAAAACGATTGACAACCAGCGTTTCTTTGAGAATGTCAAATGGTAAATATTAATAAGAAATTTACTATTTATTTAAGGTTTTTAATTAGCGATGGTCGATACTATATATTATAATATAAAAAACTGATATAGTAAATTTCCTTGTTGTATTTTTGGAATATCGTTAATAAGAAATCAGACTTTATATATAATCAGTGGGAAAAAGTTGTCCGCTTGTTAAACGTTGTCCGGTTCAGAATCTTCTAACACGAGATACAATTCTTCTACACAATTCAAAAACATTTACAAAAAATCTATTTACTCTTTTCATATTTTTTTTCTTTCGTTTTTTGTATTTTTTTTCAAAATTATAAACAACTAAAAATCAAACATTATTTATTTTACAGTTTTCTTAACCCATAAATTTTTCATTTTTATCATTTTCAAAGACCTCGCCAAAACGACGCTCTCGAGAAGAGTGTAATTAAATGGCGAGTACAAGCATTGGCTCTATGAAAAGGATAAAAGGGTTCGTAATCATACAAGTAAGCTTGACCAAGTCATTCGGAGAGTATAGAGTATAAAGGTGTTGATACAATCATCAATTTTGATGGTGTCAATCTATAAAAACAACATTATTTGTAGCCAATGTAATTGTCATTGTGGTGAAGCCTATAACCAAATTCAAACATTCTAAATGTCACTTGAGGTTATATTTCAAAAACAAACACTTACAATTAACAAGAAAGTTTGATTATTGAATTTTAAATAGTTTGTTCAAAACCCTTGTTTTTATCATTTATTCAAATATATGATACATTAAATTATTATTTTGTTTTTTAATATATAATATAATACAGTTGTTTTTAAATTAACAAGTTTAACTAAATAACATATACTTACCAAACAAAATAATATGTTTCATCAAAAAAGCAATTTTAATTAACAATTCATGTAATAAAAACTCGTTAAATAAAATTAAATTGATAATTACATCTGTTAGTGAAATTATATAATTGACATTGTTGTTTGGTTCAATACACTCAATGGTATTCTTTCTCTTTTGTACAAAACAAGTCCATGTTTTGATTTTAATAATGAATTGTCATAACTTCTTGCTTTGCTTCTAAGTGTTTTTAACGCCTTTTTTCTTTTCATTGTATCGGATAGTCCCGTTGGTAGACTATTTACACACTCTTCAATTTCTTCTTGAGTAAAAAATGATCAATTTTAGTACAAGATTTTTTTACTACTTCGCAAACAATTTGGAGGTTGTCTAACAACCTTGGAATTAATCCACATGAGACAAATCCTGAAATTATATTTTTTGTTGTTGTTGCTTTTTCCCAAGAATTTATTATTTACAAAATTTGTACCGCAGATACAGACAAAGACGAATAAGTGTCATTCATAAAAGACTTCTCTGCGACACAGAGTCTTTTTTGGTTTCCAAACAAGCCCACATCCAATACTTACACAAGATTTGAAACATGTGAAGGCATCAACATGACACGCACATTGTTTTTACTGAGCAACGAAATAGCATCATTTTTAAATGGGATCCATACCCATCCATTATCAAAACTGCCTTTCCCCAATACTTGTATACCTCTTTCTTAGTTTTGATTAATGGAACAAACACAAGAAGTAACAATCTCATTAATAAATAACCGTTCATGAAAGATTTCTTGGTGAAATGGAGATATGTTCTATTGATAGTTACACCATTTTCAAGAAGTTCCTTTTCGATAGATTTTGTTGGAATCAAAAATAACGGCTTCAACGGTGTACCGTCCATACACACTGCTCCCATCATGGTAGTTCTTCCACCTGTACATTTGACTGGAACCTCAACTTTATACACTCCACAGTTCATTATTATTACAGTTTGGTCCATTTTGTCAGCCCGAACCTGAAAACCAGACTCGTCGCAGTTAAAAATAAAAGCTGTCAATACACCAGTAATTTCCTTTTCTAGTAAATCAAAATAGGCGTTTATTTTGTTGTAGTCGATATCTACTCTCCGTGATTCCATTGATACACCCATCGCAATTTGAATTCTAGTTTCGGATCTGACAAAATTGTACAGCATCTTCACGTCCACGTCTTCCCTACCAAGCTCGTTGATTAAAACAATACTATGTCGTTGTATGTTGCAGGATTTTTTGATTCATCGCGACAATGGATAAATTCGACAATTGTATTCTTTTCAAATTGAGAAAACAAGGTTGGCCTTCCAGACATTTTTTCCCATTCTTCGTCATGTTTATTTGTCATCTCCAAATATCCGCTGAAATATTTTTTGTTAAACTTGCAATAAAAATGGAGCTGTCAATTTGAGTTTTTTTGACCAAGTCTTCATACAATCGGAACATTTGTATCCTCCTATTTGGAGCTTCCCTGTTTCTTCTAAGATTCAAAAATCTTAAAACCATGTTAATGATCTCTACATGGTCCATTTTTGTTTTTGTTTATTGAAGATAGTCGTATAAATAATCACAATCGAATTCGTCATCCAAAAAAACTTTTTCAATTTGAAGATCCAAATTTGTACCAGTTTCAATTTTTTTCCATTGATACTAAAGACTCTAAATATTTCCTCTGCATCTTCATTGTTTTCTTCTGACATTTTATAATCGTCGTTTAAGTGGAGTAAGTCAATGACGTCATCATTATTCGCCATGGATATTTCATGGACTTCTTCCAAGTGTGGTCTGTTTGTTTGTTCTGGAAAATCCACTTCGTTTTCACCAGGAAGTGGTACCATTGTTTGTCTCAAATAATTATAAAGCTGCTCAAAATTAGCTCTTGGAACAGCATAGCTTGTGAGGAAATTTAAACAATTAGTGATGTGTTCATTGATTAGTTTGACCCTTTCTAGTAAATGTTCTGTAGATTGTATTGTAGTTATTATCTCTACAATCCATTCTTTTTCGTTTTTGAACGCGGCAATAGCCCCATTTAAATCACCAATAGCGAAATTCAAAATGTTGTTATAACAACATATTTCTCTGTTCACATTTGCTTCCATTTTCGACTTAAATAAGACTATATCTTGTAATAATACATCATAGTCATCGAAAGTCCCAGAAGATGGTTCAATTGGACGTAAAAGTTCATTCAAAGTGTTATGAACTATTCATAATGGTTGTCCAACAATAGAAACGCACCCAAGTTGTGTTTGCATTCTTTGATTTTAAGTTTAATCTGTTCGAATTTATTGTAAATATAAAATTGAAACTTGAAATTGAATCAATATTAATTTGTTGAATGCATTTAAATTTATTCATGAGATATCAAGAAGAATTGTTTTTTCCTGACATTTAAAGGGAAAAGGTCTTTAAAATATAACTTTTTATTTGTGACTTTGGGTTATATATTTTAAAAAACAATTTTTTGTTTGTTTTTTTCATGTTAGATATCGGGCGATATAAATACATGTTAAGTTTAATGAAAACAAAAATTGAAAATAACTTGATTTTAAAAAATTGAAAATAATACACCATTTCTAAAAATACAACAAAGAACAGACTACGTTTAACAAGCGGACAACGTTTTTTTACTGACTTTGATTAAATCAAAAATGATGAAAATGCAAAATGTTATTCCTTTTTTGATTTTTAATAAAAATGTTTTTTTAAAATATAGGGATTATTAATATCGTAAATTGGTGAAATATTTTACCAATTTTTTCTCTTTTTTGGTAAACGGGTAAAATGGATTTTACTTCATCCCTAATAAAAACACAAAATTGTTTATTATATTTAGTAGTTCTAAAAAATTTAATAAAAGCTTGAATTTAATATATAATATGTAAATGGCTTTTTAACTATTAATAATCCAAATTAAATACAGTGCTCATTCCCGATATATTGAATGAATATTTGAATACACTTTTAACAGGAAGTGTTTTTTAAATGTTAAGAAAAAAAATTACAAAAATTGAAAAAAAATAAAAATTCTTTAGTATTCGAAGGGTTAAAAGGTGTAGTTTATTGTCTCAAATCAATTTTTATTGTTATCCAGAACTTGTCCTTTAATTATTACCATTGGGTCGTTTTTTTAAAATTGTTGTTTAATTTATTGTATTTGAAGTGTGAAAGTTAAAAATTGCAACGTCACAAGGTGCGCAAGTTAAAGTATAGTTTAGTAATAACTTCGAAATTATAATTAATAATTAAACCAAAAATAATTTTTTTTTCAAAATTTCAAAAAATTAATGATTCTATTTTTTTAATAAAAAATTATAAGTGAACTATATTTTTTTGCATACTTTGGGAAGTCACTTTAATATGACTTTCCAAGGTATGCAATTATGAATAATCAATTTTAATAATTTATAATTATTGAACTTATAGTATAGTGTTTGTCATTTTATTATTTTTAAAATGATACTTTTATAGTGGTAAATTTATTATAAATATTATAAATAAAAAATATTTTTTACACTACGTCATCATGTCGATTTATTCTCTAAACTAAAATAACGAATTAATCAATTGTTTTGAGTATATCAATAACTTCATTTATTGTAATACGTTCTTCAACTTTTTGTTTCCAACATTTTTCAATAACACTTTGATATTTCTTGTCAAGTGTTTTTATCTCTTTGGGACGTTTTCCAGAAGCAACATCATCAGCTATAGTCCATGGATACATGTATACACTTTTTGGATACGCATTACTCCACAAAAAGCACTCCAACATAGTTATTGCAAACGAAAACACGTCGGCTGGTTTCTTGTAATGTTCTTTGTTTAAAATCTCCGGCGCCATATACTTTGGTGTTCCAATTCCATTTGTGAATGTCATATTCGTCATCAATAAATTCACATTTCTAGCACTTCCAAAGTCTGTCAATTTTGCAATTACTTTGTCTTTCCAATCAAGTGAAAACACAAGAATGTTGTCTGGTTTAATGTCTCTGTGTAATATCCCATTTTCGTGTAAATATTGAATTCCTTTTGCTCCGTCAAGTAAAAATTTCAACCGTAATTTTATATTAACTTCTCCACTTTTTTTGTGTTTCATTAAATCTTGTAAAGATCCAAATTGTGCAAATTCAGTGACCATACAAATCTTGTTTGGTATAAACACGGCGCCATAGAAGTGGACTATATATTCACTTCGAAATTTGTCCAACATTGCAACTTCTTTTTCAAATTCAATATTTTGAGAACCATTGTTTTCACAAATTTTCATCTTTTTAATAGCAACATTATTATCTCTAAAAGTGCCTTTAAACACTACACCAAAAGACCCCTCACCAAGTTTCTTGTCTTTTTTTAATTCGTCTGGGTCTAGTCGTGTTGTCAATTTCGAAGTAGCTGTAATTTTCATATTTTTAATTACATTATTTTTGTGTGTAAATGAATTTGCGACCAACACAATATTTTCATCAATTTTGGTTGTGCAATTTAATGTTAACAAAATTTCAAATTCACAGGCTTCACCACTTGGTAAAACGACAACTTTTGGATTTGAGTCAAATTTGTATTTTTCGATGGTCGCACTTTTTGTTGTGATTTGAATTTTCATGTTGTGCTTTGAGGTGTTGCCAACACACAAAAGTTCTCTCTGTTGTAAATTGACATCGATGTCTTCGCCAAATGAAATTTCTGTTTTGTTCACAACAACGTCATCACCAAGTTGAATAAATGTGATGTTTGAGCGACTCATTTTGAAGAGTGTTGTTGTCATTTCAATTTCTTTTTGTCGCACTTTCTTTTCAATGTATAACACTGCAAATATTATTAATAATATTGCCATTGTTAATAAAAGAATTGCCAATAAAACAATAATAATAAGTACCCACCAAACCGCTTTCTTGTTGCATAATGTCCCACTTTTGTTGGGGGAGTGCCAGAATGTACATTTTGAGCATTTTGAGTCAAAAATTTCAAGACATTTTGACACATATGAAATATCAAGACAAAGTCCACTTTCAAATAAAATTTTACTTTTAACACAGAAAGTGCATTTCTCATGTTGTGTGCATGTTGTGCAGTTGTCATTACATTTCTCACATTCATTATTATTGATAGTGTAATACCCATCTTGACATTTAGAACACCCATTTTGTGTGACTTCACTAAAACACCCAATAATACTGTTTTGTGGCAAACACTTTCCACTTGTAGTTTTGTAATTAGTCGAATTACAAGTCAAACACATGTATTTTGTGTTGCATATTGAGCAATTCGAAAGACATTCAACACAATCCATTCCAACTCGGTAATACCCATCGTTGCATTTATAACACCCACCAGTAATTTGTGATATTTTATCACACTTTTCAATCAATTTAGTACTTGATAAACACGTGTAGTCTTTTCCTTGATAAAACCCATATTTACATGTAAGACATTTTCTATCACTTTCAAAGCAACTTGTGCAATTTTCAGAACATTGAAAACATACTGCGTTTGATAAGTAATATCCAATGTCGCACGAAATACACCCACTTTTACTATACAAAACACAACCAGATAATAAGGTGTCATTTGTAATGTTTACACAAGTTTTGTTATTGTCAAGTTTGTAATTATTTTCACATTCAACACAATAATCGTTCACTATAAAAATACACTTGTTTTGCGAAAAAATACACATCCCATTTTGCTCTTTGAATGTTCCATTTTGACAATTTGATAAATTGCATTTTCTTGCATCTGAAATTGAATAATTTACTTCACACGAGATTGCATGAACTTTGTCGCAATTGTACGAATTTGCAAAATTTGATGAACATTTGTTGCATATACCATTATCAATGTAAAACTCGTCATTACACCAAATAGTCGAAATTCCAGTTGAAACCCCATTTTTCTCTTCAACACAAACACTTTCGTTGTTTAAAACATGTTTTTCATTACAAAGAGTACATTTCTGATTTAAACACAAATTACAATTTGATGCACAATTATTACATTTGTTGTATGAATTTCCAGTGATACATTTAAAACAAATACTTTCATCTGTGTATAGACACTTGTCATTATATATACATTCATTATCATATCTTATGTATTGGTTTGGGCATTTGTAACATTCTGATGTTGTTCCATATAAACAGTTTGCTGAATTAGCACACTCGAATTTTTCATTTAAAATATACCCTGTTTTACACAGAACACAAATATTGTTCTTGTTGTACGTCTCACAATTATCAACAAGAGAATTACATATGTTATTATCAAGACGATATTTAGAGTCGCACACAAGACACTTTAAACCAGTTTTCGATACTTCCATGAGATGGCAATTGCTGAGAGCTTTGTTGTTATTTGAGTTTTCTATAAATACAAAGCTCTTTCCATTTTCAGTGAAATCAACTTGATTAATTTTATTTAAAATGGTGTTTTTTAAAATATAAACATTGGTGTTTTCGTATAAATAAAGTTTTTCAATAGCACCATTGCAATCTATATTTAAAGTGGTGATGTTTTTAAAAATCGAAAAAATGTAATTTAAGTCACCCACACATGTTACTGTATCTGTTGAAAGTAAATATATAAATGAGGCATTTGTATATTCATCTTTTTTACTATTGGTAACAATTTTACCAAAAGTAAATGAAAAGATAAGATTTGTAAATAACGAATTGACTGTGAGTTCCACATTATCATATATGGTGACTTGTTTTGCGAAATTTAAATTCAATAATCTCATATCTCTATCAATTAACAATTCAGTGTTATTTAAAATATATTTTAACATATTAAAGTCGTTGATTCCATCAATAAATTTTAGTTTGCAAATGACTTCATCATCGCTGTTACACGGGCAATGCGGATAATCATAGGCCATACTCATGTTTGTTGGTGAGTTAAAATTGTAATAGACATTTTTTAATGTGCAAACCACTTCATTATTTAGTTGAGTATCTTTAGGGCAAAATCGCATCAATTTTTTGTTTGATATCAAGTACCCTTTTCCATATGTAAAGTTATATGAATACTTAAACATATCAGATGTGATGTGATTTGCTTTATCTGAAGTGTCTATGTTGGAGTTGTTGTTAAGTGATATGACATCAAAACAATTGGTGTTTCCTGTTGGATTCTCAATTTGAAAATCGGGTCTTGGTGTCATGTTTAAATTTAAATGCAAATACGTGGAATTCCACAAAACAATTCGTGGGTTATTTAATTCAGGATTAATTAAAACGAGATTTCCAGCAATTGACATTCTTCCAAAATTTGTCGAATTTTGAAGCACATTTATTACTGCGTTAGTCTCTATCACAAATTTGTTGTTGATGTGTAAGTTTGTCATTAAAAAGAATAAAACGTTTGAATCTATTGTAAAACTTTGGGTGTCAAACCAAAAACCTATATCAATAGTAGAATACAAAGTGGTATTTTTTAGTATTATAAAATTATAAAAATATCGGTCATCGTTGTCAAATGCGTAGTCTGAAACAAAGCAAATGGTGTTTGTCTTTACTGAACAATTTGAAGGAATGAAGCTGTAATCATTGTTAATATTAGCAGTTGTACAATCACATTGATCACCATTTGTTTTAAACACCAAAACAATTAATAACATGAATTTCATTGGTAATATTTATGTTTGTTAATTTAAGTTATAAATGTTTAATTAATATCAAAAATATGAATATTGTTTTCATTTTATCGACAATTTAAATTTTTAAATTATCAATTGTGAATTATAACAAACGGAATAATTGAAAAATATGAACTGATGTATATATTACAACAAAAAATTCATGTTTTTCATTTTAATTATTGTTATTATAATAAATGAAGTAAATAATAATAATTATAAAATTTATGATAAAATATTAAATATTTAAAAAAGCATTTTTTAAATATTTTATTGTAAATTAATTATAAAAAGTAAATAAAGGTGACCTTGAAGATTCATCAAAATGCTTGGGCTCATATTATAGATTTGAAGCAGAGTGTTTAAAAAACGTCGAAGTTTTCAAAACAAATCTTTCTCAAAAATTCTTATTTAATTGTGTTGTAAAATGACATTTACAAACAATGATGAAAACCAATGTAAATAATTTATTAGTTATTATTGTAAAGTGAGGCGAGAAACAGAGTGTCCAAAAAACGTCTAAGTCCCAAGTTGAGGAAAGGTCAAAAAATTGTTTTGAAATAATTGATTTTTTTGGTTTGATTTATTTTTATGAATGAAAATCTATAATTGCTTGGTAAACAATTAATAAATATGTTATTTAAAACAATAAAATTTTACTTAAACAACTTAATTAACAAAAAAATAACAATGTTAAGTGTCGTTTTTGTGTGTATGAGTGCGTCAATAATATCGACCCTGTTAAAAAAGACTGGGTCGGTTATATATATAAAGGCAAGTCGTCTTGCTATCATATATACGTTACTAATGTTATTATTTAAAATCGATTCTCTGTATTTTAAAATGAGTAAAAACGAGACTCATTTTAACCTAGAATCTGAGTTTCGTTTGTTCAAGAAGTGTTCTTTTAATTTTTTAGATTATTATGTGTGTTTTACATTTTTTTCTGTTCTTGTAGAGAACAGTAAAATAACGGCAAATTTGATAAATTACAAATCTGGTTTTAATGATAGTTCTAACTTTTTTCTTAAATTTTATCAATAAAATATTTTATTTTTGATTTAATTGCTTGGATTTTTCGGGAAATTTCGTAAATGTGTTCATTTTTTACATGTTTTATAATTGTTTTTGTGGATTGAATAATGTGCTTGAAATTGCTAATGTTTTCAATTTTATAATCAAATAATTTGATTATAAAATAGTGTTTAATTTAATTTTTCAAGAAAAAAATAAGAAAAATTTATGTTCAATTTGAATGTAAATTTTCGGGATAAATTATGGTTATTTTTGTCTCCTTTAAAATTCTATTATTTTTTGATCAAATCGATTAAAAATCCAATTTTTTTGTTATTTTTACTCCAAAATCCTTAACTTGGGACTTAAGTGCATTTTTTGGACACTCTGTTTGAAGTCAAAAACATACTTAAAATAATTAAGAACTTGTAAAAAAAAGTTTGAAATGCGTGTCAAATAATTATAAATATAAAAAAATAATTAATTACAGTAGTGAGAGTGAGGGGCTTGACCTATTGTTTTATTATTTTTTTACTATACAGAGTTTTCCCGTTTCTATTTATAAAATAACAAAAACTATAAATAATTTATAAAAAATGTCAAAAAAAAGATTCTAAACTTATCAAAATGAAATAAAACGTTTTTTGAAAGAAAAAGTAAACAACCTTAGTGTTATGAAGAAAATTGAATGGCTTATTTTCATTGTTTGAAATAACCAAGAATTAATTCACAAAGCTTCAATTATTTATGTTTCTACGACAGCACAAATACAACTTCTTTCTACAATAGATTTCCTTCAACAATAATAGACAAGTTGTTCCTCACACAAGCCAACTCGTCTCACCATTTGGCTTGTGTATTCGGAGTTGTTAAAATAATAGCTTACTGAATACTTTGACAATTGAAATCAATTGACGCCAATTTCGCAGTAACTGAATACTTGAATTGATTTTTGGATGAAAGAACACAATGATAGTGATGGCAGATTACGACAAGTTCTAAAAGAATAAGGAAAGCCAAGAAAGCATATTTGTGTTTCCATTGCTCGTCATACCAAAAAGGTGTTGGGAGCATTAGAGAGCAAAGCAACAAAAACATCATTATTGCATCATATAAGCGTTCTGGTGTTGTTGGAGTCAATATTGGCAAGATTAAAAGAATGTTTGTTTCTATAAAAGAGGCTTCCAGGTTGTTACAAGAAACCAATGGTGTTTATACCATAGAACACTTGGAATTGTTTGTTCTTCCGCCTAGACTAACATATTTGGTCAAATCCGAAGAGGAAAGTTTGCCTTGGAATATCCAAGAGTTGCCAACAACGAGAGCCATATCAAACATAAAGACTAACGCCTACCGATGACTTTATTGAGAAACAACTAACAAACACCCAAGTCGTTTTTAATACAATTTCAAGTTCCGATTTTATGCTAAGGATGAACCAATACTTTTATGGTTTATAAACTATAACTAATAAGTCAAGATTGTGTTTTTAAATAGAACATTAAAAATGGTTTTTATTTAAATATAGTAAATAAACCATTAAAAGTATAGGTCAAGCTTCTCAGTATCGTCAAGCCCCTCACTCCCCTACTGTAATTATTTTTTATGTTAAAAAAGTGATTACAAAAAAAAATTATTTGGTAAACAAAAAAATAATTGTATTTTTTTAAAATATTCATTTTCAAACAATTAAATTTCATATTAAAATTGTATTTTTTGATAATCACACATAGAGTTACCAAAATGACAAGACATGGAATGATAAATAAATAATTAACAATTATGTTTAAATATGATTTTTGATGTGAACAAAACCAAAGAGAATAATATTTGTTTTTAACATATTATTAATAATTGAATATATCTTTTATATCAAGAACGGGTGTGACTATTTTCATTGTGTAATTTCATAAAAACGATTATTTTCAAATAACTCACTGTTGATAATAACATGTATATAATGTTATTTGATATATATATATTATCTTTTTATTTATTATGTCTGATTACACACATAAATAACACCAATTTAAAAATGACATTACAACAGTTATTGAATAGTGAAATAATAACATGATTATACAGCTAATTTTAATGATTTTGTTATTATAATCAATACAACATGATTAACTGATATACTTTACATGTTCATTGTAAAAAGGGATAAAAAAACATTTCATCTCTTTGAGTGTGTAAACAATTGATTTCAAACTAAACAATAAAAAATTATTATTGTATAAAAAGAATGTGAATGGTTATTTTTAACTACTAGTGGTTTTCACCCATTTGTACATGTTAAAAAATAAATTATATATTCACTGGACAAAATAACTGACAACCACGTGAAGTTTGTTATTATGATAAATAATCAAATATATACGTGAACAAATTAAAAATGATGATAATAAACAAATTTGTATTTTTGATTACATTGGTGTTGTCACTTAGATACGATTAAATATATTTAATAAATTTAATTAACAATATTTTTTACGATACTAATATTATTCAATTTGAAAACAATTGAATTGTTATTGAATGTTTGTGTATTACCCAGATAACATAAGAATCAATTTTCCAAATCCAAAAAACAAACATTTATGTTTTAATTCACTGTTAATTATGATCCAAAGAAATAACTATAATAATAGAAAAATATTAATAGAATTATTTTTTAAAATAATTATGAAACGTGTATTCATTTTTGTTTAAACTACTAACTTAATTTTCCACAACAAAGAAATGGAATAAATTATATAATTATTTATCTTCTGCTTTTACTCTTTGATGATAAAATATTGATTTTTATATCTTATGTTTATATGTGAGAGAGCAATTTAAAAACAAATGTGTTTTAAACTGTGTTATTCCAGTAATTTTAGTGTAATGATTTTAAGTTCGGGTTTGATGTTAGATGTTTACATACTAAAAATTTATCACGTTTTATTTTTGACATTTTATAAAAATGAAAATGTTGTGATGAACAGTGAAACCTGATATATCATCTGTTGTTATTATATTACTTAATTAATAATCAATGCATGTTTCTATTTTAGATAATAATAAATGTTGTGGTGTTACTAAGGTATATTTGTTTAATTGTGTGTTTTTATATGAATAACAAGAAAACAATAGTTAAAAGAATAATCGTATATAACAACTCTCTAATATGTAATTTCAACAAAAAGTTGTTGTATAAAAAATAATGAACATCGATGTAATTACACGATGAAATTGATGATTATCTTTTATTTTTGTTTAATTAAATATCGTTGTCATTACACAAAAGTTATTATTTACAATCAATAAAATCAATGTAATAAACAACTATAATTAAAGTGGAAATTTATATCGAGAATTTCCTTTGTATCAACACTGTTGTATATTTGATTTTTTTTGTTTATTTGAACCTTTGATTGCGTAGATAACTTTGTTATGAAAATTGATAACACGATCTGTTAAGGTTAATAGTGATTATATAATCAATTCAACAATGTGTAAATTCAGAAAAAAATTGTGAAATTTTAAAAAATATTTTTTTGTTGTTTGGTAAAGAAAAAAGTAAAATGCCGATTTACAAAAAAATTAATTAATTCGACCCAAAAGATCAAAAGATTACTTGGGTCGTGACAATCTCGAAGGTCACCTTAACAATATTAATTTATTAATTTACAGTTGTGTTTCAATAATTAAAAAATATTTATGTGTTTTTATTTTAAAATATTTCTTTTATATTTAAAAAATGAATAAAAACAGAAGAACTAACAGTTGATTATAATTGAAGATTAAAAACAAAAAAAAACACTAAGTGGATAAAAAATAATAATATTGATACAGTTAACAGAAAAGGGGGATGCTAATCTTAAAAATTAATTAATTAATTTATTAATTATAAATAATTAATATAAATTTATTTTGGTTTTTTCATTTTATTAATTTTTTGATTAATAATTTATATTAAAATTAATAGTTATTTTATTATTATTTTTTAATTAAAATTAACCAATTGTTTCAAGCATCCTCCTTTTTTATCATCCCCATATTTCCTCCTACTGTACATAAAAAAACTATGAAAATGAAAAAAGTCACTTTTCTATTAAAAATTCGTAAAACTTGTTGAATTCGACGAAAATGGAGATATATAAACTGGTTTTTAAAAATAAAACGCCGGAGTTATAAATGAACAACATAATTCATCAAAAAAGTTATTACATTGGGTTTGAATAATGAAGGGTATTGATAAAAACATTTTTGGTGTGTTGTGGTTGTAAATCATTATTCGATTGGTGTGTTTGGCGTTTATTAATGATGTTAATTATATTGTCCCATTTTTGTTTTTTAAAGAATACTGTCTCTAAGACTAGAAAAAGATAAAAGTACGATAAAAAACACGGGTTTCAGAAGTCGAAACGAACACACTACAGAACAATTCTAATTTATGTTAAAAAATATAACAATACACGAACAAATACTTAATTATAAAAATTGATTGTCATTTTAAATTTTTTATTTATCGGCAAATTTGATATATGTTTACAAAAATTTTAAAAAATCTATTTTTTACCTGTTTTTGTTATTGAGACACTTTTTTACAAAAAAGTCCAAGATATCGAGACACAACTGCAATATAATAGTATCAATAATATATTAACTTTTAAAACACATTAATTCAACATGACGATGTGCCATCTCGAAGAAATCTTTTTGATGAATGTTGTTCTATATATCAACGAACTTCCTTCGTTAATTTCTTTCATTCAAATCAACAAAAAGTGTCACGGGTGTCTGTCTTATCTTCACATCAATCCTTACATCGACGTTTCCAAAGAAACAATTTCTTTATCTCCAAGTCATCGACTCACAATTTTCACACAAATATTCAAATTCATCGAATCGACGTTTCCGATCATTGAAACCCTCCAATGCCCTAATTTCATGTTAGAAAACTCGTTGGCTATCACTTCGCGAATTCTTTCGAAAATTAAATTTGTGCGATTAGTAAAAACACCACACAACACTTATCCTATTAAACAACACTCGCCTATCAACGAAAAAGCTCTTCAGAAGGTGACACACCTCTCTCTACACCCCCCTCAGTGGTACAAAAGTGTCATTTCCAAATTTGAGAATTTAATTTTCCTCAATGTCTCTGCGTTCAATAGCGATATCAAAGTTGTCAAGCAGTTCGCTGTGTTAAAGAGTCTCAAAATGATTTCATTCTGGCGCTGCGCATTTCCAGAGTTTTTAACAGAAATCCTCAACTTGAAAAAAATCAGAAAAGAATTAAAACTCAGTGAATTAATAATAAATGTGTTTATTGAAAAGTGCGTACACACCATCGTAAATAGAGTGAATGTGGACACTGTCTGTGATCGCCTTGAAAATAGCGGAATTAATGTTTTTAATTATAATACTAAAACGTCCGTTATAAACGATGAATTGTATTTAGAAAATTCGCGATTTTCTGGGGAAGTTTTTCTAGTTCAAAAAGATTTGTGTTATAAATTTCCTGTTAAACAATATCGTCAATATAGTGAATATACAATTCCTCATTTTAGTGTAGATGAAAATAAAAATAAAACAGAAAGTCCATCCGAGTTGTTGTATTTATCACTCACACTAAATTCACCACTCGTTTTAGTTGATAATTTTGTGAAGAAAATTTGTGTTGTTTCACATGAAATTAAAACGTTGTATTTGGTTGGTATTAAAAATGTTAAAATAGTTGGGAAATATATCCAAAATGTCGAGTTTATTAAGTGCGAAAATTTTGGAACTGAATTTGTTTGTGTTGGACAATTTGTCGTCACACAATGTCATTCGGCTATTTTTAACTTCCACGAAATGTGTATGTACTTTAAAATGACCGAATCAACAAAAATTGTCATACAAAAAGTTCCAGAAATGAAAGAAAGTGATCAACAAAAAGTGATTCACAAAGAAGAAGAAAAAGAAAAGTGTTATATTGGGCGGTTGGATTCCTATTTATGTTGTGACTTTGTCGAATTAAACAATTGTGAAATTTTCTTTATCGAAACGAATTGTGACAACATCAAATTCAATAACAATATTTTGAGATATGTGCAGATAGAAAATTCAAATTCTGTTGAAATTAACAAAACCAATTTGTATAAGAATATCAAAGTACCGGATTTTGTATTTATGAAACAATTCGAATTTTGTTCGCGTTTACTTTCCATTCGAAATTCTGTGATTTTATCTTCTACTCAAGAAAAATTGACAATTTGTGACACAGAGTTTTCTCAATTTGTCAACACAGAAATGTTGGGATATAAACATCTTTTTCTTAACACCACAAGTGTTGTTTTTAACAAAGAAAAACCACAAATTTTGCACTATGGTGGAAATTGTGTTATTGGTGATATTCCAAAATATTCGGTGCACATTGATGGACAACTTGAACGTGTGGAAATAGGGAGTGCAAAGTCATTATCATTTTATTGTAATAAAGGTGATAAAATTACTATTTACGATATTGGAAAATCAGTGACACAAAATTTGAATAATTTAAAAAAACACAAAGAAGTCTATCATAATTTTGTAACAAACAAATCAAAAGTTAATTTAAACATTTTGACGGACAAATTTGTTGTAACAAAAAACGAAAGTGATAAATTCCCAATTTTAATTGGCCGATGTGGCCGAATTGAAACTGAAATAAATTATCAAATAAATAGTGGGTTCTTTTATGACAAAATTAAATGCATAAATAAAGCTACTATTTTGTTGGAATCTTTTAAATATTGGGCGAATGATGCCAATTTTTCACAAATAGAAGTGAAAGAAATTGCATTCAAAA